TGCGTGCATGCGTGCGTGCGTGTGTGTGTGAATGCAGATAACATTAATTTTGTATTGCGAAAAGAATTTCATGCAGCTGAGATAAACAGTAGAGTTGGTTAATCCATATCACTTTATGTAACCAGCAGTGGTGGGCACAAGCCCGCTAAAGCACAAATCTGCTAATTGCGGACCTAAATATTTAATTTGCGCTTAAGCGGACTTACTAATTATTATAATTCATAAGCGGATTTGTGCTTTCTAAAATTAAAACGCAGTACCGCTAATAACTAATTATCTACAAGTCATCATTATCTTGAACAGCGGAAGGTAAGGCTCTCAGTGAATCACAACACACGTGATCTATCCAACAGCACCCTTCCCAGATAAACGCACATTGGGAAGGTATACATCCTCGCGGACTGTTGCATTCGGCCACGGTTCTGATTTTTCACAATGCTTTACGTCTGCTTATGTAGCAGGAAGGCAATAGCAAAAACAGTAAACGTTTGTAATCCATACTAAAATTTTGTATGTATTGATTTATTTTACTTTACAATCAGAGCTCCTTTAAAAAAAAGTTTAAACGTTGGAGCTCAAAAGCATTTGGCCAATGGTGTTGGAGACTCAGAAATGATTTTAAGATGTTATGCTGGTGAAGACTGACATCTAGTGGTCAACTGGAGCAACTACATGGAAAACATCCTAATCCAGGTAGGAAAAAAACCAAAAAGAAAAAAATAAGTAGGTCCTCTGGATGGGTTCTTCTTCTTTTTTTTATGGATGGCCTCCCTTCTCCCCTTATAGCCATCCCCTCCACACCATTATGTTTTTTTTTGATGGGTTCTTCTTTAGTGAAACATTTTGTCTCTCTTCCAAGAGACTTCCAAGAGACCTCCTTCTGCTTCTGTTCTGTCCTGTTTGGTTGGGGGTTTCACAGGCGGGGGCTCTTGCACGCACACGGGGGAGGGCGGTTTGCGCGTGTGCTATGATGCAGTTTACTTGGCATCTGAAAATATATTTCTTCAAAGGTATTTTTAATCTGAAAAGAGCTTCACTGAGTGAGAACTAATGTTGAGAGCTCAGCAGACTGCGAGGTTTCACTTTCACTTTGACCTGAGAGCCTGCAGGAGTCATGGGCGGGGTGTGTGTGTAGAGGGGGTAAGGGGGTGCCCTCCGCCATGAGGAAGTTCGGCTTAAAGGCACATCCCAGGGGCCTTTCTGTTACCAAAAGGCGTGCCTGGTTTCCACCTCTCATTTTGATCCTCAGCATGGCTGCCTAAAAACGCTGCAGGATTTCTCAAACATGCATGAATGAGTCAGAGCAAGGCTTTGGGCATGTTTTTTTTATGAGAGTATAACAACTCAAAAAAGTTGATTTTACTTGCTATTGCCCCTTTAATGAAAAATCTAAAACAAACAAAAGAAAAAGACAAAAGAAGCAGCCGAATTAGCAATCCTCATCAACTTTTTAAAGAAGCAGCTGAACTCGAAAGCCTCAACAACATTTTAATTTTTACATCATGAGCCAAAGTTCTGGTTCAGGAAATTAGATCCCCAGCAATCAACAGTTGAAGGATTAAGCTGTACAACACCGCTAGTTGGCAGTATTGTGCATATTGTACATGAATTGTCAGCTAGTAAGTGACAAATTGAACTTGTGCTTTAAAATTAGCTTCTGCTATTTTTTCTATGACATAAGCATTTTTGAAGTTGTGGACCTAAATATTTTCATAAGTGCTTTTGAAATTGCGGAGCTAATTTTTAGATTAGTGCTGCCCACCACTGGTAACCACTGGTAAATTTGGCTCATTCACTAAATTAACCTAATTCACTTGAGTTGTTAACACTGTCCACCCCCTGTTGATATGCAATATTCAGAGAAGTTAATTTACAATCTCACACAAATAAATGAACAAGCAAATTATGGGAAAAAATGAGATGTCTAAATGAAATAAAAAATCAATCAAAATGTTAACTTGTGTTAATTATGTGAATGTAGGTTAATGTCTATGTACGACTCACCTGAGTTTGTAACAATTTCAGTTGATTATTAACTTAGAGGAGCAACTCAACTCTGATCAAAATCTATAGCATTTCCAGTAGGTTATTAACCCGGAGCAGTGACTCACCTGAGTCAGTGTCATTTTGGTTGGTTCATTAACTCAGAACAGAAACTCAACACCTCAGCATGTCCAGTGAGTTAACCTGATGCAGCAACCTGACTCGTCTTTACAGAGATTTTGCTGTTTCTTTTTGTTGTATTTGTTGATGTTTTAGTGTGTTTGCTAACATACAGAATTTTATCTGTAGTCTGCCACAGTGCCAGAGGACATGAAGGATTTCGATTAATTTAGACCTCAGATTTGCCAGTCTTGAATCAGTGTGAAAAATCAAATCATCAACCCAGGTAGATCAAGAACTGACCAGTTTTAATTAAAAGAAATTTCTATGTGCAGTGACATGAAGTCAAGACAAAGGCTAATGCTTGCATTTAAACAGAGCATTGCTACAATGGCTAAAGACACCAAGTATTGAATAATCTGATGTTTCTTTCGATTATTTTGAGTAACTATAGAATAAAGAGTTAGAGTTCAAAGAATATTGTTAAAAAAATCAGGGAGTTCCCCTTTGACATCACTTCCTGTTTGCTTTGACTGCACCAAGTTAAACAAAATTTATCCAAAACTGTATTTTATTATCCATGATTTTATCCATTTTACCCAAAATGGATAATGTCAATTTTCTTGATCATGAGTATGTTTTCTATCACTTTTTGTATTTGTAGGAAATGTCGTAGGCACTTAAGAGTTTGCAACACTGGTGCAGCCTCAAAGCCCAGACAACAAAGCTGAGAAACAGCTTCCCTGAGGCAGACAGAATCATGAACTGAATCCCCTAAGCTGCCCCATGGACCTTGTTTTTATCAGGGGAACTTCTCATAAATTATTTCTTTTAGAGGGCTAAAATTTAAGTTCTTGTTCTTTCTAGATCATACAAGCAAAATAATTTATCCAAAATAACTTATGGCCATAGAGGATAATGGTTTGTTGCTTTGTTGTAATTGCATATTTGCATTCATAGCTGTTTTAACTAATAATGTTTCATCTAAGGTTTTGATTTCATAATGTTGTTTTTAAGTAATATCTATGTACATGACAACAGTAATTGTTTTCTCAGACACAGAAGTGTGCACTACAGACGACTGCAGTCAATAGTTTGTTTCTGTACTTGTGCAAGTAGTTGGACAGCAGCAAAAATCTGCAAATTGCAGTGGACTGCTTGTGCTACTCAACATTTTTAATGTTTAGCATCAATCCAACCTTGTAAACAAATGTTTGTGTAATAACCATTTTGAATGTAACAGTTTTCATGCTGAAAATACAGAATCACAGCACCAACTAGTGACGTGGCACTGGAAACTACAGTGGCTTCAATGAGCATAGCAGTGATGTGTAAACCTATAACTTTTTTGACAATCAACATTGAAACTACCTGTTTTAAGAGTGTACAGAAAAAGACATGTGGTGTCTGTCATTGATGACGTTTAGTGCTAGTTAGGACTACAACATCATTATTAGAGTCACTCAGAAAAATCAATTGAAAATATTTTTTTTCCTGAATTTTGAGTTTAAAGTTAAATGTTAAAATTAAAAGGCCAAATCTTAAGAGGTAAAAAGACTAACAAGTCATATAATAATCCTAACAATTTAGATTACAGTACAAGTTTTACCACATAACAAAAATCATAAGCTTTAGATAATTTAAGAGTATTTTGACATGCAGTGTATTATGTTTGAGACTCTAATTGTGAAGAATTTAAAAAAAGCTGCTTAGTAAAAGCAGCATCTTGGACCGGTTAGGTATAGAAATGTGACATTCAGGACTGATGAGAATCTTTTGAATCGATCTTTAAAACGAACATCTGGAACTAAGATGCAGACAGCTGCCAGCATTTCATTTAGTTTTTCCTTCTAGTGTTTTCCTACTTAGATGCAGATACACACAGAGTCCTCCTTTCCTTTGTTTTTCCACTGAGATAAAGAGCAGGCAAAGGGGAGGAGCGCATCACAAGGCCGCTCTTTGGTGACATGAGTCACTGTTCAAAACTAAACTGATCTAAACAATCAGCATCCTTTCAAGGAATCATACCTTCTACATCTAGAAAATACTTTGTGTTGTTGTTTTGTAGTTTACCCATTTTACATTCACTCATAAATCTACTATAATAATGAAAACTGGAACAAATTCAACAGGGTTCAGAAACAATAGTGTTTGCTTCCTTGGATTTAAATTGTTTTTTTTTTTTTTTACATCACTTTGACTTTAAAACGTAACATTTGACTTTTGTTTTGGACTAATTATTTACATCTGTTTTACCTTGACGCTGTCCAGTACTAATATCTTAGACTTCAAGACTCCAGCAATGCATGACCTCTCTTATTTTGATAAGGTAGCTTCTGGGCTGACAGCCCTGTTATTGGTTAGGTGGTTACATTTGTCAGACTGTGATTGGTTGTAAGCATGTCACATGATGTTATATTATTGGCTGCTCTACACTGAGGGGCAGCCACAACACGACAGACTTCCTGATTGACCTCTGCTTTGTTGTTGCTCAGATTAAATCATTTGACGACCATACACGCAGACTTTCTGTGCATTTATTCCAACGTGTTTCTGCATTCTTGGTAAATCTTGCTACCACAGTTTAATTTCAAAACTCAGAAACAAAAAAAATATTTTAACGTTTATCTTTGTTTTCTCTTTTCTCTATGTAGCCCTAAATTCTCCATGACCTGTATAAGAGTCAAAAATTAGATAGATTTGTAAAACACAAGACATATTGCTATATATATATA